ATCTATGCTGATAGTTTGCTTGTTTCTTTTTTAATATTTGAAGGATTAACTTATATAGCTTAAATAATTAGGTTATTAACATAAAACAATTATGAAAGCATTGAAAAATGAAAGCTTTATGTGATTTTTTTTGCATAATTTTTAAATGTGCGAAGAAATAATCAAAAATATAAGTATGTTTGAATTTTTTGAAGAGGAGGGGGATAAGCTTCTAACACAAGGTGCGTAGCGTTTTTAAAAACTTAAAGGTGCTTTTTTCATTGGGTGTTTTTAAAAAGTGCCTGATTTTCCCTTTTTCAAAATGAGCATGAAAACGCAGTTCACATTGTTCTATTCCCAATTAATTCAACCCCAATCTTTTTCGACGTATTGTCAGTCCGTAGAGTAGGAAAACGTCATTCGTTTTACATGATTCAAAATTTCATTATTTTTGACAATTGTCAAAAACAATGCCAAAAGGTTTTTTTCTTTTTTTTGACATGATGGTTAAAATAAGATAAAACCATTAATTATCAAAAACTTTCTAACCCTGCCTGATTATGAAATTTTTTTAAAGTGATCAAAAATATTTTTTGAGTTCTTGAGAAGTGCTTAAAAGGTGCTTATTTCTTGTCGAATAATTTGGCTGCGCACCCTGTAATAGAAATGTAACAAGGGAAGAATTTAATATCGAATTAAAATGTTTGAATTAAAATAGGGTACAAACCATCTATTGTAGAACTCTTGACAAAAATGAAATGGTCTGTACTTGAAATGAAAAGCATCACTTTTTTTTCTGCAAGAATACTTCTGATACTTGTTTGTTATGACATATGTCGTGCGTCTATAATTGAAATTTAATGATTCTCTTCTAACTTTTAATTTCTAGCACAAGAAGCTTTCATTATAGTTCTTGTTAAACCTGAAGTTTAGTTATATATTTAAGAATGCAAATGGTTTTTTAGTCAGAATACAACAAAAAACGGGTTCATAATTCAATTTTGAAAAGGAGAACGTGAATGATTTGATAATTTAATTTAAAATGCTGTAGAATACATTAAATGATGATTTAGTGGTTAATGCACTGAACTGGGGTTCGAGCTCCAGTGGGAGCCAGCTTGCTTGGAAAGCAAAGACTGTCTGCGCGCAATGTTGACTCCATTGTGACAGTCGTGCCTTTGATCAGGAAATTGTTGTGCCTTAACTTCAATGACACCTGAGGCCCATAGTGGGCTATTTCAGGTCTACTTTACTTTATACATTATTCGCACTGGCTACTCATGCTATCTGAAACTAAGAACTGGAACCCGACAACTGACACATTTCTCTTAAGAACCCTTGATGTATTCGACTAGTTTGATTTTTAATATTCGTATCTTTTCACCGAATGTCACCATTGTTTTTAGACATAATTGATCTTGGATTTCTTATTACTATATTTTATTTTACTATATACCATGTAGTCTAAAAATATTCGACGTAAATTTTATAATTGGATTTTAATAAACGCCATGGTTGGCTTTCCTTGATTGGGTGTTCGAGCTCCTGAGGGGCCTATAGTGATGAAGGGTCAAACTCTTTCCGTATACCCCCTGGGGTGGGACGGGGTTCTGTATTACTTACTTTATACATTAAAGAGTTGGTGATATTGAAAGTGTTGTGATTGAAAATCCGACTGCTAGAAACTACTGGGACAAAACACCGAAGTTACGAATTCGTTCTTCAAATTAATTCTTCAAATTTATTGTGTTTGTCAAGTTTAGACGCAAGCTGTTTATACTTATCATTATATCCTGATTCAGTATCACAAATTAGTAGACCTTGACTTCTACTGCTACATTTTTATTTCAGTAATATATAAAGTGAAAGAAAAAAGGACACCTGATAAAATGTCAACAGACTTACATCAAAAAAAGCGTTTTTAAATTCCTTTATATCCTTTCCAACTATTTCATACGTCGTGCTTCCTATTTATGACATAAAATTTCTATTTGACGGTTAAAGTGTTTATTTAGTCAGGGTCAGGAATTTCTTTAATGGCTAAATATTGCACTGCCGACGAACTTATCGCTAATATCTCGCAGGTGATATAGTGGAATATTTTAAGTATGTCAAGAGCGATACAGAGTATAGCGGTTGTATTTAGATATGAATTTGTCTGCTTCTATCCACCACTGATTTATTTAATGCAGGTGGTTTGAGAGGATTATATATTTTTTCAACGAATTCCTTTGTAAAGGAAATTGAATAGATGTAAAATGTCAAAGGTATTTGCGGGGGCGGGTATTTGATGTAATCGAATATTAAGGATGGGAGATGACGTATTGAAATAATATTAATTTATTATTCGATTTTTATTCTATAAATAATATATCCTATTTTTAATCTCTCAAAAATACGCCTCTACATTTAATGTGTATAAAACCTCACCATCTCGACTGTTTAATTTCGTTTATTCATAATCTGTTGTAATTCACGCTTTCTATTTTTGGCTATAATTTGTTTTCGAATTCAAAAATATGATTTTTAATTGCGTTATGCAAAAAAAAAAAACCGCACGTATTGAAATGACGTATTGAAATAATATTAATTTATTATTCGATTTTTATTCTATAAATAATATATTCTATTTTTAATCTCTCAAAAATACGCCTCTACATTTAATGTATATAAAACCTCACCATCTCGACTGTTTAATTTCGTTTATTCATAATCTGTTGTAATTCACGCTTTCTATTTTTGGCTACAATTTGTTTTCGAATTCAAAAATATGATTTTTAATTGCGTTATGCCAAAAAACCGCACGTATGGAGATGACGTATTGAAATAATATTAATTTATTATTCGATTTTTATTCTATAAATAATATATTCTATTTCTAATCTCCCAAAAATAAGCCTCTACATTTTATGTATATAAAACCTCACCATCTTGACTGTTTAATTTCGTTTATTCATAATCTGTTGTAATTCACGCTTTCTATTTTTGGCTATAATTTGTTTTCGAATTCAAAAATATGATTTTTAATTGCGTTACACCAAAAAAACCGCAAAAAATATTGTACGTGGTCGTTTGGCATTATTCTGTTGAGCCAATTTACAACGTGAATAGCAACATAACAAAAATAGGTGTCTGAATTCGGTTATTGCACCTCCGTTCAAAATGAAATTTATAAAGGTGTCATTGTTGTTAAAATAATTTATCAATTACTGCTCAATAAAAGTCATTACTTTGCTATTTATCACTTTTTTCACTTCATCAAAATAGACGACTTTATCACTTTTTTCACTTCATTAAAATAGAAGACTTTAATAAAAAGTGTAATGATATTACATTTTTCATTCAAGTCTTCTATTTTTATTCTTACTCTTTTATAACAGAACTCTACATTTACTGACAACACTTAGTGAGACAAAAATTCAAAATTTAATTCGAGTGAATAAAAATAAGTGTCTTTGAAATCTAATAAGTTTACTGATTAAAGGGTAGTATTTTTACTTTCTGTATATACATTTTTAAAAAGTTGAAAGAATCAGAGACAGAGAAATAACCCTAAATCAACAGTCATCTGGTTGACTGAAATAAACAACGAAGTTCTCATTTGTTCCAATTTGTACTAATAATTTTGATTTTCAACACGAAGTACTGATTTGTTCTTGTATGAATCTAGAACTTAAAGACTTGCAACCGTATTTGGTACTTGGATTTCCCAGGGTTCACAAACTGATGATTTTGATCACGAAGGATTGGCAACAACTGATTCGTTCTGTTATTTAAAAAGGCAGAGTTTTCTGTTTTTTTTCCCCTGAGTAACGCTTTAAATTAAAAAGACATCCACTATGAGCTGATAAATCAAGAAAATACTTTTATATGTCCAAACTATTTTTTGAAGATAAAATTAAATTCAGCTCTCTGTAGGAACCGATCTTAGCCTTGTTAAGTTACTAGAAGGTTTGTTAGAGAGAGGTTTGAATTTGAAAACATTTACAGTCATGAGAAGTTCTAGTTTTACCTCTCCAAACAACGCAAATGGAATTCAGCACCGTACCCCCACCGACTACAGCGCTGACGTAAAATATTCCCAGTGGTAAATAGAAAATGGGTTAGAGTCTCCTTGCTGTCAGGATAACAGTGGGAGGTTTTCGTGGTTCTTCCATCAAAAAGTTCTCCACGAGGGCAAATTTCATCCTAATACTTGATACAGGAGTTTCTTTATCTTTTTGATTGGGTTTAAAATTACAAGGCTACGGAGTCTTACACTGGTGGTTCTGAACTCGAAAATTTGGCCGTCTGTTCAACAGCGGTTATTAAAAAAAAAGCAACACAAATGAGGATTGGATTCATCTAAAAAAAATAAGTCGAGTTTGTAACGTAAGTTGACTCAGAAACCCTTTCGTATTATCAAGAATGAGTTCAAAATTATTTCTAACGGAAGTTAGTTATCGCTAATCGTTCATTCATAGAAGCCCCATCCACCTAGGGAATATTAATTCACTAGGTGAATGTGGTTTCCTGGAATCACTTCGTAAAAATTCCTTCGGTAAACCCAATGAGTAAAAAATGAATAATAACAATTTCTTCGGCTTGAAAAATATATTTATGAACACAAAAATTATTTGCCTGGACTATGATTTCTCGATTAACTGCCTCGATTTTTAAGTTGTTCTAAATATATTTTAAATATTCAGAAAGCGTGGAGTTAAAGATAAGAATATTTCAATTCTGTAATAAGAATTTTTTTTGTAGGGCTTGCAAATTCAATAAATCAATTAGTAGCAACCTCGACACAAAACATTATCAATTCACGAGAACCAAATAATTATATATTATCTATAGAACTTTTTTTTGTTGATTGGCAACGTTTTCTGTTTTTACCAGTTGATCACTCATTTTTCGTCACATAAACCTGCCAGTGAATCTTGCTATTGTTGTGCCTATCAATTTAGATGACATTAAAATCGGTTATTGCAATATGTTATTATTCAACCTTGAAATATTGTTTTTGCCATGTATTTTTATAGCAATGATGGCAAATTGAAATGGTTATTAAACGAACTACAGATGTCTGAACAGCGACACCTAGTTCCTTATCTGGAAAGCGCCGTAGAAGAACTCTTAGGAAATTTACATCAATTACAGGAAGAGAAAGGACGCCTAGAAGAATCATGGCAAAGGTAGATAAGAAATTAGTTTTGAAAATATGTATTTACATTGAAAAATAAGCCAATATTGTTCATCTTGAATATAGAACTCAAAACTGTTTGCCATTGCTATAAGTTTCAGTGTATATTTTTATGATCTGTTTTCCATTGTAATTCGCAATTTGGGAACATTTTCTTAAATGTACAAACTGGAATTCATTGTAACGTTTATTTTATATGAGTTTCAGTACGTAATTTTGGGATATGTTCTCTACTGTATGCAAAATTTGGGAACATTTTCCTAAAAGTATTAAATAGAATTTATAGTAATTAGTCATTATCGCGAGTTTCAGTTTATAATCTTAGGAAAATGTTCCGAAATTTTGCATATAATCGAGAAATTGTTTTTAAAAGTATATACTGGAATTCATAAATTAGTAGAAGGTTAAAAATTTGTTCAACTGCCCTGAAGTTTCTCGATTATCGATTGTAGGTAAAATTTAAGAACATTTTCCCAAAACTTTTAAATGGAATTTATAGTATGTCATCACTATGAGTTTCAGTTAGAAAAATGTTCTGAAATTTCGTAGATAATACAGAATATTTTCAAAAGTATAAATTTTAAATACGCAAATTTTAAATTTTGTGCTTTTCTTAATCTCTCACCCGATAACTCTTTCAAATTCCATCAGATTTATTTAAGAACTTTATCAACATAATATATTAACAGCAATAAAATTGTTAATTGTTTTTTTGATAAATTAAATGTTAAACTATTACTTTTTTCGCTCAGCATGCTGCTATTTCGTTAGTTAATATTTTAAGTTTTACGTGGAACGAAAATGTATCAATGATATACAAATTGCTCAGACTTTGAAAAAAAATAATAAAAATGAGAGAAACTGACAAATTTTCTGTTTTCAAAGATAATTTTTGCATTGTTACGTGCGTTAAGTTATTTGAAATTTAAAACAAAATAAGATTTTATAAGTTACTCTTACAACAAATAAATTTTACTTTTTTAAAATTAACTCAAAGTCTGTAAAATAATGTAAGAATAAATATAGGTTATTATTTTTAAATGCAATCCATACATCTTTTCAACACATGTATTCTTTCCTTCGCTGATGCGATAAGCGCTAAAAAAGAATTTCAGAAAAACGATATAAAAAAATTTATTTGTAAATTTTTTTCCGCCATGAGTTGCATATAATACGAAGATGCCAAATATATAAAAATCTCAATTTTAAATTTTTTGTCACCTTCGCTGATTTTTGGATTGCATCACAAAGTGACTAGAGAATATCCATTTCATAGAAAAAATATGATTTGGTAGCATATAATACAGTGTTGTCTATAGCATATATTTAAAGCATTTTTTAAAGTTAAATATTTAGTCAAGAATTAACGTTATGTAAACACAACATTTAATTACTATAGTTTTCTGTATGTACGAGACTCGGTCCACGATACACTTTCATGACATATTTTTTTTAAAATTTAAATTATATTTAATAGCAAAGATTTCCTGATCATTTAATTATTTTAACCCACTTTTTTTCTCATATCTATAGGGAAAAATTTGCCCCATGGCAGTTTTTCTGGACGAAATTTTGTCCAACAATATTTCGTTCGTATATCTCTCTTTCTTTTTTTTAAAATTTTTTTTATTTTAATAAGCGGTTTTTATTTTTTCCATAAAAATGGTTTCTAACGTTGTTTGTGTTAGTTGAACTGACTTATTGGTTTTGTAATAACATTTGCTATTCATCGTAGAACAACCACTTTAAGCTCTTCTATTAAACTCTTCTTTCAACCAACAATTATAAGTTTTAAGTTTTTTATAACTGTTATAAGAAACTTATTCAACCACTAAGTATTTTATAACTGTAGTAGTCATCGTTTGACAACGAGAGCTTCTTATTTCTAATAAACTTATTTAAAAAAAACTTATTCTTGTTTCTATCCAGGGAAAAGTTCGAACACGAAAAGCACCTAAAGCGAATGGAAGAGGAATTGGACAACCAGGTGAAAGAAGCGGAGATGAAAATGAGATTGAAGGTGATTTAGGGTGTCTATCTCTTATTTCTCACTTTACGAACGGGACTAGTTGATTAAGAATTATAAGTTTGATATGAAGAACAGTCTTTTTGTTTCATTCCCCATAGGCTCAAGAGCAAGTTGAAGACGAGAGGAAATCTCTGCAAACGAGAATGGATACCGAATTGGATAAATTACAGACTCATCTAGCCCTAATGGAAAAAGTATGTAATTTTCATAGAATCTACAGGGGTGTACATAAATCTCGTGATCTTTTTTTTAAACAATTTACCAGTGATGTACTTCTCAACCTATACATACCATTTTTCGCATGCGCTTTTCGTGTATATTATATTTTCAAAAATACAGTCGAACCTCGCTAACTCGAACCTCGATTTCACGAATTTTTCGATATCTCGAAGAAAAAAAAATTCCCTTCAAATTTCCTATACACTCAATGTTAAAAAAAACTTGATTTCACGAATTTTGTTTTCTAATCCGTCGATAACTTGAATTTTTTTTCTCCATAAATAGTTTAACTTTTTTTTCTAAAATTAAAAAAATATTCCAAAAAAAATAAAAATTTTTAAGAACGGCTGACAAGGCATGGAATGATGTGTTTTCCTCTACGATAATGAACGACTTCAAGAAGTCTGGATTCATTAAAGATCACAAAAGTGGTCAAACAATCAATATCATTAATTCTGCTGAAAACTACACCGANTGTTTTTACCTTTTTAGTAGTTTCTTCCTCTACGATAATGAACGACTTTACAAAGTCTGGATTCATTAAAGATCACAAAAGTGGTCAAACAATCAATATCGTTAATTCTGCTGAAAACTACACCGAAAATGATTGGAACAGATTGACCTGACTTATGAAGCTTGATGACATGGAGTTTAATGACTTAGTAAGCGTAGATGATGCAGTAACAGTGTGTGGTCAGTGGGATGACAATGATATCATCGCTCAAACGAAAGCTTCTTGTGAACTATCAGAAGAAGAGGATGAGTAAATCGAAGGTTTACAGCCCAATGTTACTAACAAACAAGCACTTTCTGCAGTGGACACTGTAAGGAGATTTATTGAGCGGCATCCGAATATGTCAGAGGAGACATTTAAAGCTGTAGTCCACTTAGAAAGTGTTATAGACAAACTTTCTTACACATCTCTAAAGCAAACAACAATTGAATCTTTTTTCAAATGAAGGTGTAAAAAGTGTTTTTAGAATAAATATGGAATAGTAAATAATGTAAAGAGCATTTTTCTTTATTCTGCCATCGATAACATGCGATTTTCGATAATTCGAATTTTCGATATCTCGAATTTTTCAAGCTCCCTTCAAGTTCGAGATATCGAGGTTTGACTGTATTAGAGAAATTTAGTAACTTCACGTACCGTTCCGCACGTAAAAGTTATAGAAAAAGAGCGTAATCTACGTAATCTAGGTCGTAGGCACGAGGAGTTATTTCAAAATATACATTCCTGAGGGGGCGTGATGGTAACGTCACGTGAATGCCCCAAATCTTTATAATGTCTAAATTACGAATGTCTTTTTAATGAAAACCCTTCCCTCTTCAAAAGGATTAAGCGTGATTTACTCACAAAGTCTTTTATTTGTAATCTGATCATGCGATTCTAATACGTTCTTCGACGCTTTGTTAGATAGTGCTTAGTTAAATCATATGTATTCTGTTTAGATGTAGCAAAGTGATTTAAGGTTATTTAAAGAACTCTACAGCGCTATTCAGTGAATATAGTCAAAAGGGGAGTGTACGTCTGAAATTCGTGGTGTCTTGTAAAATAATGAAATACTAAAAATTACAAAGTTCTTGAGCGTTAATGATTTTATTAGAAAAGTCCTTTTTTCATCAGCTCTAAAGATAGAAACTATTAAATTCATTAACAGAAACGAAGGAATTTGTGTCCATAATTTAGGGGGCCATTGAAGACAAAAGAAATATTTGTTGCCGTTAATTGAAATATGGTAGGAATATGATAATTAACAATCTGATTAAGTATGTTATGGAATAAAAAATATGAGATTTCTTGACTGAAATTGCATTATGCGCCATAGCTGCATTTGTAATTGACATTATCTTGAAATCTTTAAAGTGCGAATATGGGATTTTACAAAGTTAAAATCGGTTAAGGGTTTTAATAAAGTTACTTTCTTTTCAAGTTGTACAAATACAATTACGTTCTCGATGTAGGTAAAATTATATAAGAAGTCAATTGATTTAGCTTTCAAATTTTCTTTGGCATTTTCCTTTATTTAGCTTAGAGTAAGGTTTTTAAAATTTCTCTTATTATAGCATCTGAACGCTCCTAAATATTAATGGAAAAGTCTTTATAAAGAGATTTTAAGCTCCTTTAGAGTTTTTCACATACATAGTTGAAAAACACTCTTTGAATTCCTTTTTCATTCAATGCATATATGAAATATTTAATATAGTTAAATTCAAAATATAAACTTGCTATTCATTATTTTTAACAAACTTTGTTTTTGTCCCCCTTTTTCATCGTGAGTTTACGTATTGATAAGTCTAAAAGTAATTACTTGATATTTTTAGACTATGAATTAAAATTTTTTTCTAGGTCTACACTTGGTTGAGAACGCAGCCAACGGATCGCTCTGATGTAAGACTGGACGAAGTGAGAACAAAGCTGGATGAAGCTGTGCACGAAAATAGACAGTTAAGAATGTCTTTATTGGACACGCAGACAAGCATTGCGTTAATGAGAGGGGAACTTGTACAGTTACGAACAATGTACGAAGAAAAATGTCGTGAACTCAGCAGGTTTGTTAACAGTTAAATCAAACACATTTCCTTTCAGGCCATTAACGTGTTTGATAAATATTTCCTAGCTTTTTCACATGTAATGTTTCAATTCTTTGTTGCCAACGCAAAAACGAAATGAGGACTTTCTTTGTCGCAATGTAAAAGAAAATATATATATACTTTCTAAAAAAAGAAAAAAATATAGATAAATTTAACTTTGCTTTATCAGACTTAATTGATTCTTATTCTGACCATAAATTAATTAGTTACTAATCACAAAAGTGCTTATCAATCATGCAACAGATTATAATTTATAATGTACATAGAATTAGTTGATAATAATTATTTTAAATTGCATGCATTTAAAAAGGTAATATTACTAAACTACTTCTTAAAGACAATTATCATAATTTTCAGTGAGCGGGAAAAGATATTAGAAGTTTTGCAGGAACAAGATCATCTCAGTAGACAGCTAAACTTGTTGCAGTAAGTATAATTTATGCTGCGTTATTTTTCGAGTAGACTATTTTCTTCCATTTATATCCCTAAAGTAGGTAATTCCAAAATAGATTGATTTGAAACCTTAATGAAATACACATTTTCATAGTAAAAGAAAAATAAAATAAATTTCCACTAATTACTTATTTTTCATTATTTCTGTCTCGCAATTTTTTAACACATTTTTTAATTTCTTTATATACAAAATTTGCGTTGCATTTTGTTACAGAAAACCGTAACCTTTACTGCCACAAGTAGTTTCTTATGAACATTTTAATCAAACTACATATTTGTAACTGAGATCTAAGTTCTACCTTCTAAGTAGAGATATGCGAAGTGATTCAGCACGGCGGCTACAATTTTAATAAAGAAGTAAGATGTAAATCTTAGAGATAGAGAATTGCATAGCATTGCATTGTACGCTTACGCTTCTCCATTTTGAACTGGCCGATTGTGCGCATTTTTACCGGTACTTTTGTTTATCTATACTATCGTAATAATTATATGATTTATATTCATAATTGTCTAAAAATGCATCAATATAGCACCAGAAATAGCCGTGTTATTGTTATTTATTGATTTTGTAACGAAAATTGGTGAGCTCAGCAAGTTGGTAGCCAAATCATTAAACTACGATGGAAAAACTAAATCTGGGCCTATTTAAATGGAATTTTTGGCAATGATAATTGCATAATGTTAAGATGATTAAAATAAATAAATAGTACTGATTTTAGTGGGCAATAAGAGCTAGTTCATAATAGAGAAAGGCCCCTAAGGGGTACGATGACATTTTTGACCATAGGTTGCTACACAGTTTGCAATCATTATGTTTTCTTAAGGTTGTGACCGCTGTGCTGAATCACTCTGTATACTTCATCTCTGCATCGCTTAAAGAATAGTGGATTTAAAAAAAAAATACGGGACATTTAGATGCAAAATGTTTTTACCTTTTTAGTAGTTTGTAATATTTTACAATAAGTGGTCTCGTATTGGGCATAAGTGATTCCTCATCGAAAAATGTAATTCATATATACATGTTCTTAAGTTCTGCTCAAGTTCTGTAAAGAGTTGAGATTGTTCTATAGTACTTATGAGAGAGATTTCACGCATGTAAGTTCTGCACAGCGCTGCGCAAATCTGGTGAATTATCTCTTTCCTCTATAAATGTGTGAACCATTGTGAGATGAAGAACTCGTTAGATGCCGTGTGAAAGTGTTAAATCTCTTTAATAGAGAGATTTCTCACTCTCCTATAGCATCTCGCACATCTTAGTTATAAATTCCGCTTTGCGCAAATGCCACAAAACAACCACAATTTTCTATAGAGCTTGAGCAGTATCAACTAGCGGGAGCAAACAGGATGCTACGTGAGATGTGAAGTTTTTCTGTTAAAGCGAGTCATACCTAAATATTCCGATCCAACTAGTGATGAGATTCAAATGATTTAAGAACTTTATCAGGTACGCTTACATTTTTTTACGTCATCACACTGGTACACATAAAATCTCTGAATTCCTTAAATTTTTCAATGATTTTGCATAAAGAATTAATTTTCAATTGTATTAAACTTTTCTTACATACGTTATAGAAAATGTATAATTTTTTCCTATCAAAAATTTTCTTTCAAAACTATTTGTAAGGAAATTTTAAGAACAATCGCTGCCCTTTTTTAAGTTTTGAACTGCCACGCACGTATCGTTGTCTGCCAGCTGAATACCCTATTTGCAATGAGCACAAGACTTCATAATGTGGTAAAATTTTTCTAGAATTTCAAATGTAGGCATTTTTTGGATCAAAAATAAAAGTAAGTTTTGTTTTTTATTTAAAAACAAACAAACTAATAATAAAAATTTTTGAAAAAGGAAAAATAAGTATATATTTTAACAATGTGAACTAATGTTCAAGCCAGGAGCTGAACTACACTACTAAGTAAATGAACCAGTCAAATGTAGTATGCACCATTCATATTCACATCCCAATCAAACATATTACTATTGATTGCTATCGGTAACTCATTGATCATTGATGGATGACCAGTAGACAGATAAGTGAAGTGACGTCAGCTTAGACACCTCTATTGCGTAAAAGAGTTGAAAGAAATGTTTTTGAAAATAGATTAAGTAGTTCCTAGAGAAAACTACATCACATATTAAACACTTGTCTCCATTTAAAGTAATATGTTATCACGAAGGAAGATCTATAAACTACATAACATCTCTGAAAATCTTTTTTTTCATTTTTAGTGATGCCAACAAAAGACTACTTGATACTCATGATGCCTTACGAAGCACAGTGGAAAGCCCTACTAAGCAGGTGAGCAGGTAAAATAAGCCAAGGACACGAAAAAGCAGTTATAATTTTAAAAAATCAGGTTGAGGTTTTCTTTATACCGTTTAGAATACCAGGTCCTTATTCCCCATATGTTTTAAGATTAGTTACTAAGTTCGTCAAGAGATAATATTAAATAAACTAGTTTTTTTTATTTATTATTATTATTAAAAAATATTTGCAGTTACAGCAAAGCGTGATCAGAAAACAAAATTACTTGACGCCTGTGTGAACAGTATTTCAGTTCGAATGCCAAACGTGTAGTAGGAAACGGATTTTGATTGTTTTTCAAATCAGCAGCGCCATTAGTTGATGGACTTTGAACGAAAATTAAGAATAATTAAAAAGCTAGTTTCCTATTAAGAACACAGCAAACCTTGCATTTCTATCCGTTTTTTGATTTTTTTTTTAGATCGTCTGTTATTTTTGTGTTGCTCATAATCTACACCACTGATCTTCCTTTTTTAATATTTAGTTACAGTTTTACTGTGGATTTTATTTTGCTTAGTAATCCAAATACTTCTAGACTTATTTTTATTACCAGATTGTGATTGAGGAAGTTAGTGGGGAACATTATATTTAAAGGAACTAGAAAAAATCAACTTTATCATATATATAGAACGATCTGTTTCAATTAAAAATCAACTTTACTTTGAATATTTAAATCGGCTTTACTTTGATAATCTACTTTGATAATCACAGTAAAACTACCTGATATAAAAACAGTGGTGAAAAAATTGACTTGTATAACCAATGAAACGAATAATCTCAAGAATCATTTGAAAATAAGAAAAAGGTTCCTTTTATTTATTTAAAAAATTAAAAGTGAAAAGTAAAAATAAAAAAAAGAAATTTCAAGACCTCAAACACGACACTCCTCGTTAGGACTACATTACTTGTATGATGAAAGCAGAACAAACTAGAAACAAGAACACGTATAATTTCCAAATAAACGAAGTAATAAAATAAAAATGCATGTGGAGTTTAAGCGTTAAAAAACAAGGGAAACATCGGTAGACAAGGGGACGGCTATGCTTCGGCCATGATGCATCACATTTTCTTGATGCCGTTCTATTATTTCATTCGAACAAACGACGATTCTTTCATAAATGATCTCAGATCCGCTCCCCACCCCTGCATTACGCATTTATATGTATTCTGCTCTGATCTGTCTCCTTCGGCCACCACCGTTCTCTCCGCTAACACGGTGTTCCTCATGTTTTTCACCCATTAATTTCCCTTTAAATTTCTCGTTGGCAACTTTGCTTCCTTTTCTTGTTTCTAACCTTCTCTCTTTTCATCCTTAACGGGATGCCGTTCTTACGTAAAGCATTATGATCGAGTGCTCGAAATAACTCTAATTTTTTTAATTTCATTTATGAAACAAACATTTTTTTCTTTATTTTCAAGTATTTATATTCTATATTTAATTCATACTTATAACCAATCAGAACATGCTTTAAACTTGAAGGAAGGCATACTTTCAAAATTTATCTTGATACGTGCTTCCGTTAACCACTTTATTTGTCTTGTTATGTTATTCAAGTTAGTTGATTTAAATATACATATACTTGAAATATACACTTGAATCAATTATGCAATGTCTATTTGTTTTTGATGCTGTTACGCATTTCCATTGAACATTGATAGAGGAAGGGAAGGTAAAATAAGTGTAAAAATGATAATTTCAACATGACCATAATACCGTTCTAATATGTTTTATTCTCTTGCATCATGTAAGGTGTCAAATATCCTTATCCCTATTACCATGAAAAGGATTAAAAGTAGTCAGATTACTACTCAAATACAAAGTTTTCCTTATTTGTTTAAATATCTATGGATATTATAGACGTGCTTTCTTACTATAATTGTAAGTTATTTTTATGCTTTTATATTGTTTACTTGACCTTTGTTTGTTTTCTTTGCATATTATAGAACTTTAACGGATCCAGGGCGAAAAGTGGATCTATAATTGGAGATTATCTTGATATTAGCTACACTAATAGTGTTATCGGTCGGTAAGTATCAGACTTACATTTCTATTATTTACTTTGCGAATTACCTCTTTCTTAAGATAAAAAGCTAGAAATCCGTCTTCCTCAGCAATCTTGTATTACGAAGGGTTGCAGTTAATTAAAAACTTTTCATTCATATTAGCGCAAAGTTTCTCTCATTGAAACACGTCTGTACCTAGTTGAAACTGTCAATATACAGTTGTCTCTTATTGGTTAAAATTAGGTGGTGATAATTGATAAATAATATATTCACAATCGATAAATAAAACAGACTTATTTTCTTAAAAATTTTATATGAATAAACTATAAATGAAACACAAAAAAAATTTTTTTAAGCATTATTATAATTCTATAAAGATACTTGCTTGGGTATTAATATTCTCTTTTGCTTAAATATTAATTTGATACATATGCGTATACTTTTTGATTTTATTTTTGACGATGAATGTAGTTAATTATATGAATAATTATAAAAACGTAACAAAAATACTAAATTTTTAAAACCATCTGTTAATCCTATAAAAATCTTCGCTTGGGTATTAATATTCTCTTTTGCTCAAATGTTAATTTTCTACATGTGTGTATTCTCTTTGACTTTATTTTAGACAATGAATATAGTTAATTATATGAATAATTAACCGTAAACGAAACAAAAATACAAAATTTTTAAAACATTATTATAATCCTATAAAAATACTTACTTGGATATTAATATTCTCTTTTGCTCAAATGTTTATTTTCTACATGTGTGTATTCTCTTTGACTTTATTTTTGACGACGAATGTAGTTAATTATATGAATAATTAACCGTAAACGAAACAAAAATACAAAATTTGTAAACCATCATTATAATCCTATAAAGATACTTACTTGGATATTAATACTCTCTTTTGCTTAAATGTTTATTTTCTACATGTGTGTAGTCTTTTTGACTTTATTTTTGACGATGAATGTAGTTAATTATATGAATAATTAACCGTAAACGAAACAAAAATACAAAATTTGTAAAACATTATTTTATTCCTATAAAGATACTTACTTGGATATTAATACTCTCTATTGCTTAAATGTTTATTTTCTACATGTGTGTATTCTTTTTGACTTTATTTTTGACGATGAATGTAGTTAATTATATGAACAATTAACCGTAAACGAAACAAAAATACAAAAATTTTAAAACATTATTTTAATCCTGTAAAGATACTTACCAGGATATTAATACTCTCTTTTGCTTAATTGTTAATTTGTTACATGTGTGTAAACTTTTTGACTCTATTTTTGACGAGAATTCTAGGATTATATGTTAAGCGGAGTCGGTTTCTTCACATCTTGTATGATGTGTAATCCCATAAGTACTTAGAAATTAATTCGAACCAGTTCATGGCCGGCGAAAGTACCAAATGGTTTTCAACTAATTCTTCAATAATTTAAATGAATTTCGTTTACTTTGTTTTTCATTGCGTTCTCTTTTGCGTTCTTGGTTGTGAAATTCTCAGGATTTATGAAAAAACATGTTGTTTTTACACATATATATTTTTAAGGCTGATCAATAGTTACAAATTGCTCAGCCCGTAATTTTAGGTTAAATGCATCATATCATTCTCTGTAAGAAGCAATATATTTCTGTATTATGAAAGACGTTTATGCATGAAACATTTTAAAATGCTTATCTGGAAACAATAGGGAACTTTTCGTTGTAAGAATGTAGCTTTTAGAAAATGTGTGTCGTATCACTAAATTGCTCCAATAAGCCATGTAATTTATTTTTTTATGTTATGTGTTTTTTTCTTTTATTATAGTTACGAAGAAGACGGTGAAGATGAGGATGATGACGATAGTTCCATCATTCGACGACCACAATCTATGGACAATTCGTATACACCACGTAGACGTCCGAAACCACGTGACAGACAACAAGGTAAATTTAAAGAATGGTTATAGAATTGCATAACTTAAATAAAAATTAACTGTTCAATATCGACAATTAATGCTATGATACAGGAAATAAATGTACTTGGAGCATGCCATCAACAGCTTAAAAGCTTGTAAATATTGTATAGTTGATGTGAATAATTGATATTCAGTTCTAGGAAGAGATTAGATTTATTATTTTTTTCAAATTTTGTGGTACAGAAAACAAATATATTAAATATTTATGGAAAATACTGCACATAGACATATACTGCATAAAAGTATATCATAATACTGCACATAAGGTAGGTAAGTACTTTATTTACGTCGCACTAGAGTTGTACAATGGGTTATTGGCGATGGTTTGGGAGACATATCTGAGGTTGAACCGAAGACATGGCATCGCAATTTTGATCCTCTGCAGAGGGGATGACTCCCCCGTTTTTGCAGTCCGACGACCTGCGTGCAAAGTCGAGCACTTTACGGTCGAACAGTTTAACGAGAGCCGATACCACGTCCCCTCGTACTGCACATAAGCAAATTATTGCATATAAGCATATTATTGCACATAAGCATATCATGATTGATATATCTTGCATGAAATATGCAAGATATAGTAATCATGCATGTACTGAGAATTCTTATTCACAGGAAATACAAATGATTGAAAATATTTCATACAATTTCCATTTTTTAGCTCTGACATTAGAGTGTGTGGTAGATAACATGTCATTGCTGATAAATGGTAATGGCAAATTCATGGAACAGGTACTTTTATGCTTCATATTTAAATATTTTCCTGATTCTAATAATAAACGTAACCTTCCATCAAAAAATGTAATTTGTGCGCAGCGCTTTCTTTCTGGCAAAATTTTTAACACAATCTTTTCTTTAGAAAAGAAAAAAATTCTTCATTACGATTTAAGCTTTCACGTTAATCTAAGTTCTATAAATTGATGTATGAAACAAAACATGGACACAAAATGCTTTTACTGAACCTGAAAGTAATGTCAGTTATTCAGAATATGCTTTTGAAACCATCAATAATCAATGGTGCAATGAATAGGCGAGAGTCTTTCTTCGAAGAACATATATCAAACGTCTTCAATGAATGCAGAAAGAAATGGGAACACGTTTTACGCTTACATTAATCTTTGTAAATCATGGCGTTTTGCTCTTTATTTTAAATTTTCTTCAATGTCCATCGGTGACACCTGTTGCATATACTGGATGTCATCGGTCGTCACGTTTATTGAGATTTAACGCGAACGTAGTTCGTCATCGTTGTTTCTTTTCCCTTCCGAAAAAGTTTAAACATAGTAAACATATTTTTTTTGTTCATGACATCTGTTCTGTACGCTTGGATCAAAATTGCAAGCGTTTCCGAAGCTGGCTTTACCAAATTTTAAATAAAGCATCGTATTTTTGGGTATCTTCATTTAAATTCGACCCGTGAGTCTTTGCACACACGTCGTTGGACTGCTTAAAGAAGGCAAATCTGCATTCATTTCATGCGTAACTTCTTGGGTGGGAGCTGCCCCTCCCCCACCTACATACAACTGCATTTTTAACATAGGTTGCTTTTGAGGTATCTAACTATTCACGGACTGTTTAGGCACCTTCTAAAGCGATTTCTTCTGTTCTTACCATTTTTAAAAATTATTTACGAGTTTTTTTAATTTTTTTTTTAACTGTCGTTAAACAACCCACCCAATTTTGAGTTGATGACATTGTAGCCTTGTAACTTTTAACCCAATCTAGAAAACAAGGAAACTCCTGGATCAAGAAATGGGAGAATTTTCGGTATTTAAGAGAAAACCACGAAAACTTTCCCTGGTTAGCCTGACGGCAAGGGGTCCGTTTACTACTGAGGATATTTTACGTCAACACAGTAGTCGGTGTAAGCGACCAGCCATCGTTGCGATTTGAATCCGGGTCATCTCATTGGAAGGCAAGTGTTTTATCCCTTGAGCCATCACGGCTGTGGGCTCTGTTTACGAGTTTTATTTTATATTTCATAACCGTCGTTGAACAGCAGACCAAATTTTTGGGGGTTTCGACTACTATTGTTCAACTCGGTAACCTTGTAATTCTGAATCTAATCCAGAAGACAAGGGAACTCCTGGATCAAGTATTGGGGGAAATTTGCCTTCGTGGAGGACTTTTTGATGGAACTAATCAGCATTTGCGTCACATGGAGAGGAAGATCACGAGAACTTCCCAAGGTTAGCCTGACTGCAAGGGGACTCTAACCCATGATCCGTCTACCACTGAGGATATAACCCCGGTTCACCTCATTGGAAGGCGAACGCTTTATCCCCTGAGCCATCGCGACTGTTTGCGAGTTTATGAAAATATCCTGTAACTGTAAATTATACCCATTGTTTTCTAATCTTTCAATTTTTAATATTTCCGTTGTTTTCTCCTCAGCTCGCCAATCGCTCAATCACTCTGACAGCGGTGTTTCAACTGTGCGGGACTCTGGGGAGGTTGACGAAAATTGGGATCTATCTCCACGACAAGATGCACCTACACCTGAAACTGAAGACGAGGAAGAATTCGTACAGGCTACCGATTCTAGAAGGGAGCGCATGCGCCGTGGATCAGATCATTCAAGAAGTAGTCGACCAGCTTCTATGCCTCCTCCTGTATCTGAGAGGGTAGACATTATTTTAAATTATATAAGTTTTCCAAAAATATAAAGACAATACAGTGTTATAAATTGTTTTGGAAATTTTTTTAAATTACTGTCATTTTACCATACTCAACCATAACAGTCAAATAACCGTAAAAAATATGGTATTCAAACTGTTATTGCGAGAAATTTTTTTTTGTTGCCTGTTTTCACTTAATGTGGTTAAACAACCAGAATTTCATTCCCGCCAACTGGTCACACTTTATGAAGTCACTTATCTCCTTGAAGCTGTGCTTATACTATAGCCAATCTGTCTCATGGCCACCTGAATGGATTAGATCACGTCTGTGTGATTTTGAGCCGCTAAAGTCAGAAAGGCTCGTTTCATATGTGATACTGTGGGCCATGAAAGAAGAATCGCGGGCTCACGTTTATGTGGTCATGTTCCTGAAAAGAGTTAATTTATAATGAGCTGTATTTTTGGTATTTTTAGGATTTAAAGATAATATTTTTAGGAAAATTCCTTTTTCACTTTATGTTCCGTGTGCTTTAATTAAGATATTTTTGATGGCGTAAAAACACGTTGTTGACGGGCGGAGGAGGTTATTGGTTACATGCACCTCTCAATAAAAAGAAATCTCTATAAGTTCCCTCAATATATTAGACAAATAAAGGTAAAATTTGATGAATCATAACTCGTTTAAATTCATCGAACTGAAAAACAAAGAAGAGATAAAAAAATAATTAATCTTTTTGTAGATATATATCAAATATATGTTCGAATTAGTATGACTGTGCATTTTAATTTTGTCTTCCTCAAAAATGGAGAACACCTTCGACGTCCATTCATAAAAGTGTGATAACATTTTATTAATAGCAGGAAAAACAACAACTACAAAATTTCAGTACCAAACTAAAAAAAAAAAAATTTTTACAAAATTCTTTCTATTTTTTTCCATTAGCATTCGAAAGGTGACATTAGATTGAAAGAATCAGAAACTCATCAGATGAAGTCTAGCAATAGTCAAGAATCAATCACATTAAATAATTCTAAATGATAATTCTTTCTACTTTTTACCATTAGGTTTCGAAAGGTGACATTAGATTGAAAGAATCAGAAATCCATCAGATGAAGTCTAGCAATAGTCAAGAATCAATCTCATTAAATGAAACGTTACCCAGGAGGCGAATATCTGACATAAAAAGGCAACTAGGCATTGAAGATAAACCAGTAAGGTAAGATAAAGTTAAGAGTCTTTATTAACACTAGGTTTACGGGTCGCGTCATTTTGAATTTTATAAGGAAAATTACAAAACCCGTTTGAATTTTTATTTGATCTCTTGTAATGACTTTTATCCATTGATCGAGGTAAATATAGATTGAAGTCTATTTTCTTCAAAAGCGTTGAAATATTGAAATTCTCTTTGTGGTATACCTATCTCTACGGATATGCTTCAATCTGACGCGATCGTAATTTAGACAACATTTTGAGTAAACATGCAAACATCACATCAATAATAAATAGGAATGTACCGACAATACTTCGATCCGTTATCCGATATCGTTATCTCAAATGAAACAAGCGATAAACAACTGTTGCGGATAAGCAATAATAGAAAGAACAAGCGCAGAATATCAATTGATGTCAGAGTGTCAGATTTTGAAGGTTTCAGTTGCTTAGTTCGAGTATTAAAAAATAAAATACTAGAATATTTCATAAATGTATATCTCATATTTTCCTTTTTTCCCTTATAGTACATAATAACATTGCTTTCTAAGTGCAGAGATGCCAACTGCTCCGGACCTGCAAAATAATTAAAAAACGGTAGATAACTACTAAGTAAACTTTGCGAATATAAAGTGGTGAATTGCATAAATCTACGAATTATTTAGAAATGGTGGCGGATAAAAATCTACTAAATTGAATTTATTAAACCAAGTATCACAATTGATAAACTACCACTTTGAAATATACATTTGCTGTCCGGAGCAAGTTGGCATCTCTGTAAGTGCTGTTATATGTATTGGTTAATGCTTCAAATTGACGCGTGTTCGTAGAGATAGGTATATAAGAAACGTCCGTAAACCTAGTGCTAAATACGCAAGATTATAAGTATTAGAAGCAGTAATAAGCAATACTATAATGACTTCATGACATCTGTTTTATATTCTGCCGTTTAATCCCTTTGACAAGATGAAACATCGGTTTCCTTTTCGTACATTTTTTTCTGGCAATCTACTTGAAATCAAAAATATATTTTGATATTTTTCAATTATAATAAATAGTCTGATAGTTACTATAAAAAATCTGTTGGATTAATCGGAATTAAGTTTCACTTAATTCGACTTAAAAATTACTGAACTTTAAAAACTACTGAAGACTGTAACTTAATATATACCTATATTGCCCAAAAGCAGTCTAAAAGACTGCATTGTGAAAGAATAACTAATGTGTAAAGAAATTTGTTTAATTAATTTTTTTTATTATTTACAGCTATATAACAAGTTATTAGTAAATATTGACAATAAAAAGATTAATTTACTTCACATGGAAAGAAAATATTAATTTATGCATTATTATTTGTACATTTTTTGCAAATGAAAAAACAGTTAAAAAGGAATCGAAATGACTTCCTTTAGTAAGTAGAGAGTGTCTCTTAGTAGAAGATAGTTTCCTTCATTCTTTGGACAGCAGTAATTGATAATATTAAGACGATTTTATGATGTTTGTATTATATGATGTTTTCTAAAGTACGCAGTTTCTTAAAACGTGACAAATAACATTCAAAACGAAATAATCTATTTTTTTTTCTAATCAAAATATACTACGATTTAACGTTTAAGTATGATATTGAGAATGCGTCTCAAATAGGATGCCTATTTTTTACTCTTTTATACCATTTCGTTTTTATTCGTTCAAATATTACTCTGGTGATTTCTTGTTTTCCACGTGATCTTTTCTAGATTTAGATCTTTCCTAGGTCTTTTGAATTTTCATACCTATATCAAAACTATGAAAAACTATGTTCCGCTTAATCATATATTTCGGTTAACCAAATGAAATAAAATGTCCTAGAATCTCGATGATCGAGTCTATAACATGTTTTTGTTAAATTAACTAAGATCAGATCACTTAGACATTCAAAAACCTAAAATATAAACACAAACATTCTGGGAAGGAGTAAACTTGCCCCTTCAGTTTTTCTGGGTATACAGCAGTGTCTAGTCTTTCTAGTGTTAAACACTTCCCAAAATTACCTGAGGTAAAAAGATTTTTCAGCTGACTGTACACGTAGTCATGTAGACCAGGATTTAATCAGCAATCGAAAGAAATCTAGAAATCTTTTATGCTGTAATTTGAAACTAACATATCTTTCAGTTTAACCCTTTGCGGTCGTATGTCTACTCTCAGCCACCACAGCAAAGATCTTAGCCACATCTTAATGGCAAACTACATACAGGGTTATTCATAATTCTCTCGGCCTGTAAACGCCATTTTTCTTTAGTACAACTGGCTTCAGTGGTACATGTTACTGCCATCTACCGGCAACTGCTTAAATTAAAACTTGAATACTTTCGGAATAATTTCATATGTTCTTTTTTGCCATATTCGTCTTCGTCTTTTTATTATAACGCTTCGAAACCCCTGAGGGAATTATGAATAACCCTGTATATTGCAGCACTGTGAAGATGTAAAGAGTAGAGATTTTTTTGTATGTTTAAACAGAAATATTCAAGGCGGAAGACGCCAAAAACTAATTATTTTTTCGTTACACATGTTCTCGAAAACCAGGACTTCATATTGGAAACTGCTTTGTAAGATGCCACACGATAGAGAACTATGAAACATAATTTTTACATAAAATTAAAACATATAATTATGTGACATATATCTAAAGCTTAAAAAAGAATTAATACATTTTATTTTTCCTTCATAATCTTGCATATTAGTATGTATTGCTGTTCTTTCTACTAAAAATTAAATACAACCAGTATGACACCCGTGTATAAACGTAATACGACAGCAAAAGATTAAAGCGCGTTGACTAAAATGTTTATTTGCTTTTCAGTTGGAATAAAACTTGTTCTCCAAATTCAGTACAATGTTCAACGCCTAAAGAATGTTTGTATACCGTGACGTCAAAGAAACCTGGTTTTCCTCCAGTGCCTTTGCCACGTTCGTCAAAGACAATTCCCATCTATGAATCCATTGACAAAGTAAGCTTTTCTCCCCCATTTTCTGCATAAAAAAATTAATTTAACTGGCTAATATTTAAAAATCAAATAATTGATCCTTACCTCAAATTACAGAAAGAAAATAAAAAAAAGCGTCAGAAATAATTTTTGATGAAATGTTTTATTTCTCTAACATACTGTATTTCTTTGCAATAGTACGATGAGTCCTCAGATGCTGGACAGTCCGAGTTTTACAACAATTCTGTTGAAATTGAGCAGATGTATGAACCAACGGGTCCGGCTGAAGAAACTTTCAAAGTGATTTTGGTAGGCGATGCCGGAGTCGGGAAGTCATCCTTTGCCCTCCGTATTAGCAAAGGTGTTTTTGTTCAACACATGAGTTCCACTTTAGGTGAGTACGGTCAAGTCAGAAAGAATTCTAGTTAGAAAAAAGTAAGAAAAGAGTGAAAGCAGGGATCTGTTTAGAAGAAATTTGGGTCCGTTAACGGACCCTTCACAAAATATCTTTCCGTAAAAACGGACCCTTCACAAAATATTTTAACTTAAAAACGGACCCTTCACAAAATAATTTATCTTCTAATCGGACTCTTCACAAATTTGTTTATCTTCATTATTGTTTTGTTAATCGAATAAACCCTTTCCAGGAAGGGGGGGGGGTGAGAAACACAGATGTAAACGAATTAAGTTTTGTCTTCGGCAGACAATTCTTCCATTATTCGTCAGAAATGAATGTTCTGCGTTCAGCAGTATAGGCTAAATACCAAATATTTATATGTTGCACCGCTAATTTAGTAGCTGCAATTGCTGTTTATTTTTTAAAATTAAATTTTTTAAATCATAATTTTACAGGTTTAAGCATAGTCTTGTATGCCTATACAATTTAAAAATTCCTTGAAAAAGTTTTTTTGCCATAACGGACCCTATTTGCACAAATTCACAGAAGCGGACCCTGGCTGAAAGAATGTGACTTAACGTTTATTTTATATTCACAAATTACGAGTAATTTTTTCACAATTTTACAAAAACGGACCTTTCGCAATATGTCTGGTCAGACCCCTGGAAAGATTATCATAAGAAAAAAAGGACATTTTTACCTTCAGTTTGTTTTTAACATAATGAAACATAATTACATTAAATTGTTTAATAATAATGTATTTGATTAAAAATGTATCGTTTAATATTGTAAGATTATTACATTATTAAGCGACGCTTTTTTTAAAATGATTTTATTGCTGTTTTGTTTCTACTTTTACATATGCATTTGAATTTCAAATATATTTTAAACCTCGTATAAGATTTTTTTGAGTTATAAATGCATTCTTAAAAAGATTGCCTTACGATGTATGATTATATCGTTACATTGGCATAATATCGTCACTCGTGGTTTAATGTAATTGTATCCATAATTGCATTCGCGAATTATAATACCGCCCAAATTTATTGCAACTTTAGTTCCCAAAATCGAGACATTGACCTTTTCTTTAAAACAAAAAAGAAAATTCTGTGACAATAAGGAAATACTATAGAAGCAATACTGAGATAAGCATTGAAAAAGCACTTTTTGTTGTTAAAATGCAATGTTACACACGTTGATTTAGGACATAGTAACATCCCACATGGTTCAACGTGATTGTATCGTATAATTGCATGCACGAACTACAGTATCGTTCAAATTCACTCCAACCTTAGATGCCTAAGTCAAATCATATTGAAGCTATTTTAAGGACGTAAAAGAGAAATTAATTTTTCCCCTTGTACTGTAAAGAGAAACAATATCAGCAGCTCAAATATAAACAAGTAAAAACAAACACAGAAAAATTTCCGTAACTAAAATTCTGTGCTTTTGCAATGATGTTATGGTAATTGTTTCATAACCGTCGTTGAACAGCCAATTTTTGGGTTTACGACTACTAATGTTCAACTCCGTTGCCTTGTAATTTTGAACCCAATTCAGAAGACAAAGGAACTCCCGGATCAAGTATTGGGAGAAATTTACCTTCGTGGAGGACTTTTTTGATGAAACTAGCCCGCATTTGCGTTGCACGGAGAGGAACCACGAGAAACTCCCACGGTTAGCCTGACGGCAAGGGGTCTCTAACCCATGATCCTTCTACCACTGAGGATATTTTACGTCAGCACTGTGGGCGGTGCAAGCCGGATGCGGAATTCGTATCGACCAGTCATCGTTGGGATCGAACCCCGGTTCACCTCATAGGAAGGCGAACGCCCTATCCTATGAGCCATCGTGACTCATGGTAATTGTTTATAGTATAGAATTGTGGCTCAGGGAACAGAGCACAACGTCTCCCAATCAGATGCCCCGGGTTCGAATCCCAACGTTGGCTGTCGATACAAATTCCGCACCGACCACAATGCTGACGTAAAATATCCTCAGTGATAGACGGATCATGGGTTAGAGTCCCCTTGACGTCAGGATAAAGGTAGGAGGTTTTCGTGCTTTTCCTCATATGTAATTTAAAACTGCACTGTTATTCCGTACCCGACTCGCACCGACCACAGTGCTGACGTCTTTAGTGGTAGACGGATTATGGGTTAGAGTCCCCTTGCCATCAGACTAACCGCGGGGGAATTTAGAGATTTTTCACTCCATGTAATGCAAATGCCTGTTAGTTACATCAAATAGTCCTCCACGAAGACAAAATTTCCCCCAATAATTGATCCAGGAGTTCCCTTGTCTTCCGGATTTGGTTCAAAATTACAAGGCTACGGAGTTGAACATTGGTAGTCGTGAACTCAGAATCGGCCGGCTGTTCAGCAACGGTTATAAAAAAACTGCACGGTTAGAACTTTAATGGATTGTTTAATATATTTACCTTCTAAATTTTTTTATTACAATCATATTAATTATTGGTATTTGTTACTAATGAGTTTTACTAAATTTTTTTTTTAAAAATTAGGCCTCGATTTTTTGATGAGAACGATTTTGGTGGATGGTAGAAATGTTGCCGTTCAATTGTGGGATACAGCGGGACNTATTTTTTAAAATTTAATTTTTTAAATTATAATTTTACAGGTTTAAGCATAGTCTTGTATGTCTTTACAATTAAAAAATTCCTTGAAAAAGTTTTTTTGCAATAACGGACCGTATTTGTACAAATTCACAGAAGCGGACCCTGGTTGAAAGAATGTGACTTAACGTTTGTTTTATATTCACAAATTACGAGTAATTTTTTCGCAATATGTCTGGTCAGACCCCTGGAAAGATTGTCATAAGAAAAAAAAAGACATTTTTACCTTCAGTTAGTTTTCAACCTAATGTAACATAATTACATTAAATTGTTTAATAATAATGCAATTGTTAAAAAAATGTATCGTTTAATATTGTAAGATTATTACATTATTAAGCGACGCTTTTTTTAAAATAATTTTATTGCTGTTTTGTTTCTACTTTTACATATGCATTTGAATTTCAAATATATTTTAAACCTCGTATAAGATTTTTTTGAGTTATAAATGCATTCTTAAAAAGATTGCCTTACGATGTATGATTATATCGTTACATTGGCATAATATCGTCACTCGTGGTTTAATGTAATTGTATCCATAATTGCATTCGCGAATTATAATACCGCCCAAATTTATTGCAACTTTAGTTCCCAAAATCGAGACATTGACCTTTTCTTTAAAACAAAAACAAAAAAAAAACGAAAAACAAATTCTGTGACAGTAAGGAAATACTATAGAAGCAATGCTCAGACAAGCAATGAAAAGCACTTTTTTGTTGTTAAAATGCTATGTTACACACGTTGATTTAAGATATAGTAGCATCCCACATGATTCAACGCGATTGTATCGTATAATTGCATAAACGAACTACAGTATCGTTCAAATTCACTCCAACCTTAGATGCCTAAGTCAAATCATATTGAAGCTATTTTAAGGACGTAAAAGAGAAATTAAATGTACTGTAAAGAAAAACAATATCAGCAGTTAAAATATAAACAAGTAAAAACAAACACAGAAAAATTTCCGAAACTAAAATTCTGTGCTTTCTCAATGATGTTATGGTAATTGTTTCATAACCGTCGTTGAACAGCTGACCCAATTTTTGGGTTCACGATTACTAATGTTCAATTCCGTAGCCTTGTAATTTTGAACCCAATCCAGAAGACAAGGGAACTCCTGGATCAAGGATTGGGCGAAACTTGCCTTCGTGGATGACTTTTTTGATGGAACTAACTCGCATTTGCTTTACATGGAGAGGAAGACCACGAGAAACGCCCACGGTTAGTCTGACGGCAAGGGGACTCTAACCCATGATCCGTCTACTACTGAGGATATTACACGTCAGCATTGTGGTAGGTGCAAGCCGGATGCGGAATTCGTATCGACCAGCCATCGCCAGGATCGAAACCCGGTTCACCTCATTGGAAGGCGAACGCCCTATCCTCTGAGCCATCGCGGCTCATGGTAATTGTTTATAGTATAGAATTGAATCATTGTGGCTCAGAGGATAGAGCACTCGTCTCCCAAACAGGTGTCCCGGGTTCGAATCCCAGCTTTGACTGTCGATACAAATTCCGCATAGATCACAATGCTGACGTAAAATATCCTCAGTGATAGACGGATCATGGGTAAGAGTCCCCTTGCCGTCAGGCTAAAGGAAGGAGGTTTTCTTGGTCTTCCTCTCATGTAATTTAAAACTGCACTGTTATTCCGTATCCGGCTCGCACCGACCACAGTGCTGACGTAAGATATGTTTAGTGGTGGACGGATTATGCGTTAGAGTCCCTTTGCCATTAAACTAACCGTGGGGAAATTTCGCGGTTTTCCTTTCTATGTAACGCAAAAGCAGGTTAGTTACATCAAAAAGTCCTCCACGAAGACAATATTTCCCTCAATACTTGATCCAGGAGTTCCCTTGTCTTCTGGATTTGGTTCAAAATTACAAGGCTACAGAGTTGAACATTGGTAGTCGTTCGGTTATAAAAAAACTGCATTGTTAGAACTTTACCTTCGAAAATTAGAACTTTACCTTACCTTCGAAAATTAGAACTTTACTTTACCTTACCATACCTTTATTTACTTTCGATAATTTTTTATTACAATCATATTAATTATTTTGCATTTGTTACTAATAAGTTTCATTTTAATTTTTTTTTTTAAAATTAGGCCTCGATTTTTTGATGAGAACGATTTTGGTGGATGGTAGAAATGTTGCCGTTCAATTGTGGGATACAGCGGGACAAGAAAGGTAAATTAATTTTTTTCCTCAACGCCCAATTTGTTGTCTTTTTTTTCAATATCTTTAGGACGTTGTCTAATCTCGGCTTTTAATAACCATTCTTAAAATTATTGTGGAAAACGAAGTCAATAGGACCTATACTTAAAATGCCGAAATTAATTTCAGTGGATTAAGAAAAAGAGAAAAAAATTATTAATCTTGAACAAATTGTTCTCAAGATTCGAAAAGATAAAAATTAATATATATCAATAGTTCTAATGCATATTTTGTCGAAAAAAAATGATAATCATTAATTGATAGGAATAATTTTGGGCTATTGGAAATTTTCGAAATAATTGTAAGTGTTTGGTATTATTTAAGTAATTATTATAAAACGTTATACATATTTTATATTAAAAGAAAAATTTATATATTGTCATATGGAAAGAAAATCAAGAGAGAAGAACGATTTATGTCCATTTTTTACAAAAATAACTATCGGATCTTCATTTGTCGTATTTTGTGGGTTACTAAGTTTTGACAAATAATCAATAACATGGAAAATTTGTTCTCCCCGAGAGTTATTACACTGTAGAGAGGGCTCCTTCAGAAAAATACTGTTTTTATTCTTCTTGAAACGCGTTTTCTTCCTCAGAATCAGCTTTCATAGACATAACCGTTCTTCCCCGTGAGCTTTAATTTTTATATCAAAATAACAATTTGAAACATCAATTATATAATTTATTGAAATAATTGTGTAAGTACAAAATTTAATAACTTTCAATACTGTATCTATTTTTTTTAAAATTATGGCTGTAGTTATTAAATACTCATCTACAGTTTTTAATATTAATATTTAAGTTTCAACTAGAACTCATAAAGTAAATGAATGACAATGACCTTGTTTTGAGAACATTTTGCCTTTTAAGTTAAGTTCTTTTGAACAATTTTAGTTTTTGTTGGCTGTTAACAAAATTCCAATCAAAATTTAACACATAAAACGTGCATTCGAAGTTTATTATCTTTGTAAGAAATAATTTTACTGCTCTTTCATATGTCGGAGTCAATTTGTACTAACTATTCATTCTATAGTAAATTAAAATAAAACGTTATCGAGTGTGTAAAAATATGCAAACTCTTTGGAAAATTGAAAAAATCATAAAAAAAATCTACGTTCTGATGCATTCTGCTTACAAAACAAGGTATTTTTTTCAGATTTAAAAACAGAAAGAAAAAAAAAACAGTTTAAAATTTTATTAACAGATGACGTAGGTGCATAGGAAAAGTTTTAAAACAATATTATCAAAATAAGAACTATCATTTGCAACAACAACGTGGCGTAGTGTCAAGACAAAATTTACATAATAACGCGCAATTATTTCTAATCTAAATGGTCTGGCACGCATCAGAAGGCATCGATTTATAGTTCCTCTCAGCCAGCAGCACCATCTGTTGATGGACTTCGTAGTTAAATTTTGAATTTGGGTAAAATAATAACTAGTTTCCTAAGAAGATCGCAGTAAGCTGTACCTTCCATTTTTTTTAAAATTGGAAATTAGCAATTTCTTTTGGACGTATATTATGTTGATATATGTAACACATAATCAACGTTGATGTATGTACCGTATTTTTTTCAACAAAAAGCATCAGTGGTAATAATTAAAATATGTCGTTTTTTAGATTCCGTAGTATAACGAAGACATATTTTCGTAAAGCTGATGGCGTTATGCTGTTATACGACTGCACTTGCGAGCACAGTTTTCTAAACGTCAGGCAATGGGTGGAAGATATAGATGTAAGTAAATATGGCGAAACGTATTGTTGATTAATTTCTTTCCATGCATTTTCTCATAGTAATACTCTGTAAAAAGTAGCAGGTAGGTAAAAATCACAGATATTATAAATGTGTAAAACTGTTAATTATGATTAAATAAGTGAGGAAAATGACAAGGTAAGCTGAAAAAGTGTTTCATTTGCTTATAGGTATCCTGTTTCTATTCCATGATGGCAGAGAAGCCTTCGAGTAGTGGGGTAATAATTAGCAGTTTTCAATAAATAATTGTGATGTTATTCTTTTAAAGGTTCTAGTTAAGAAAGTTGAGTTCAATTCTTTTGGTTACTGGTAAATGGTCAAGATAATAGGTAGTTGGTCTTCTTTACTAAAAATGTAATAAATCTAGTTTTTACGTATTTCCTCCTGAGAGCCAGCATGCAGTATATTTGGCAACATTTGGTATTATTCAATCACGATAAGTTTGCGGGAAAGTTAGGTAGACGAGTACCTTTTTGCAGAGGTGGGGATGGTTGAGGCGAGCGAAATATAAGTGTGTTTCTTTTTTTGGCTAGTAAATCAGTGAAACAAATTTGTAAAAAGTTACCGAAATGAGAACTAGACGAAAATATTCATAACAGAGAATTTTTTTTTGTTTGAATATGAAAAGACGGCGATAAAAACGCCTAATGCAGAGTTTATTCACTTTCCTTTCAATTCTCAGCTTCGATTTTCTTTTCCTTCTTCCTCTGTTGTTGTTGTAGTCGACCATTAAGGTAGAGGGGGTGCGATTTTTCTTGTTTTCCAGTGGCGCCATCTACAGCCAAGAATTCAGCTTCCCATTTATAGGGCGGACCCATTCATATATCCATTCATTCATCCACAGATGGTAATTTGGACCTGATCCAGAGAATGATCAATCTCTAATTCAGTACCACCAGAAGTATTGATTTGTAAAGGGAACATGATGGACTTAGTGACCCGACAGATTTAACGTGTACCAGTCGCCATTTACTACTCAGGGAGTCTTCGGCCGGCTGTGCTCGAACTCCCGTTCTCACAGACGTGTGTCCAACGCCCTACCTACCAGGCTATCCCGGCCATCTTTTCCCCCTGAATTGATAGAATAAACTCTACCGGTGCGCTTTTCTTTCCCTTTGTACACGTCAACTTTTTTATTTAATTCTAAGGCAGGAACGAACCTAAAAAGAGATACAAAAATAATAATAACGCCGGAAAGTGATGCACATTGATGAAGATATTGCTATCAATAGATCTGAGGGTCAGCCATAGGGACGGCTAGGATTAGGAAAGAATACAGTGCGTTGGAAAAGCTTTGGAAGACAATCCTGTCCACTTAAAATATAGAACTGGAAAATGGAAGTTTAGGCCTATACTCCTAACTTTTAACAAAATCGTGAAAATATTTTCCTTTAGTTATGCCATTTCGGTTTGAAATAAATTAAAGTAATATAGAAATATGTGCGTTTTTAATCCTCTGTATACAGATGATCGATGGAATCCTAAGTTTAAAAGCGCGCAAGTTTGATTAAACTGCTTCGATCGTAAAAGATATTTTAATGTACGGACATTGTATGGTGTTCAGAACTAACTCTGATGACAGAAAAAAAAACGAAAAATAAGTAAAGTTAACTGGCATACCCCAATGCCGTGGAAACAGCAATCTTTAAAAAATACAAATACCTGGTAGTTGTAGTTTATAAATCGTATGATTGGGTGCCGAATATCGCTGATTTAAGCTTAGTTACCTAAAACTAAACATTATTTCTCTGTATTTTCAATTAGAAAATTAGAAAAAGAACACTTACTAACAACCGGAATTTCATACATATTACGTTGAAAAATGACAAAAATGAAATTTGTTAACTTTCTTCAAATAACAGTACGATTTTTATGCGTATAATTTTTCAATTTATTTTTATGCTATATTTTTGATTATTTTTATCTTTTAAGAATATTGCCTGTTTTTTTTTAATTTTATTATTATTATTTTTTTTTTTAATCCATGTATTCAATATGGCGGAAACAGAAAAATATTTCTTTACTTAACTTTATATAAATATTTCATTACTTAACGTTTCTGTGTTTAGTGTGATGTCTCGAATTATTCCAAAATAAATTTTTCAAAATAAATTTTTCAATCGAAATTTTAATTATTTTTTAAAAAAAGCTTCCTTTCCCTCCCCAGAAATCCTCATCACAAAGAATACCTTTAATGATTGTGGCCAATAAAATTGATTTGAGAAACCTTGCTCAGAAGACAGGAGCCACCTGTATATCAAGTGAAGATGGGGAAAGGCTTGCTAAAGTAAGAAATCATTAGTATTCTGTGGAGATGGTGGAATTTAATAAATCATTTTTTTTTTCAATTAATTTTTCTTTATAAAGCAATTTTAAAAATTATCCTTTTTAGTAATACAGTTCTTATAATCTACTTGCATATATATATATAAAAATATATTTGTTTAATCGAATTTTTATTATTTAAACTGTAAGTAAGGACTACTATTTTAATTATTAAATATTTCTTAAAACACTTTCTGGAGTGGTATAAAAACAGTTCCACTAGTTTTTGACAATAATATGAAGTGCTGAAATTGTAATAGTTTTCACCTCGTAAACTATGTTTTCAATCATCGATCAAATATAAGTATGAGGCAGATAATTTCATGTTGAGCGAACATACGGTGACACTGTTTCTTCTTGTGTAAATTTTTGACCAAATGTTTTCTGTCCCGCAAATGGTTAAGATTTTTCGTGTTTTGTCTAAACGTCAGAGGAAAAAAAATGCAATTAAAATATAATTATTGAACGATATAAAAAAATCTTACTAATTATGTAAGCACTAATATTTTTAATTTTTATGCGGAATAAATGAAACATTTATTTCTTTAGCCAAAATACGAAGTTTATATAAATACAAATGTATAGTTTGTTTCTAAATATAATATTAATTTGCGTTAAGTAATTGATACATATTTAGCGAATTTTAGCAATAATAGTAAGAAAGACAATAGACCTTTTGGTATATCATTGAATAACATTGCTTTCCTATTAAAACTTGACTTGGATTCTTACTTTTCTTCGCATTGAATACCTGCAAGTGACGTAATTGTAGGAAAACCTTGACATTTGCTGCTTCAGAACCCAATCAGTGTCGGCACACACTTTTGATGTCACGTACAAGTAGGCAATTAAATCTGATTAAAATCACGTGGTTAAGGATAATCACTTCACTTCCTCTCAAGTTTCAATTTTTCTGGAGACTCAATAAATTAAAAATTTTGCGAAACGTTTTCAGTACAAAAAAATTCCAGATCTTCATATCTAGCAAAAATATATAAAATATGATTAAGTATATTTTCAATGAAAATATAGAAATATATTGCAATATATTTCAACGTCAAGCACAAAATATTGAATACGCATTAGCCCACTACTAGGCCCATCTTCCTGGAAGTTTGGAAGCATAATTAAATTAGTCTACTTTAAATATAAATCTGACAAGGAACAACATAGGATTAATTTTCTTTCAAACATTAGCAGCTTTATAATTCGAAGAAGTATTATTAATTTGAATGTTTAATAGTTTTACTCTGTGAGATTGCAAACCTTCTAGTTTTGAACTATTATTATAAGAACTATTATTATAAGAAAAAATTGGTTTGCCACAGCGTTTATTTACCAACTTCTATTAGGCGCAATCAATTCAACCATTTAAGTGAATGAATTTTAGAGGAAATTTTTATTGTTTGTTTATATTACAGGATCGTGATATATATATAGGATTGTGATATAGGCTTTATACATAGGATAATTTTATTAAATTTTATAGGATTGTGATACTACGTTCATGGAAGCAAGCGCCAAAGACGGATCAAATGTCTTGCATGCTCTAGCCAATCTTGTGAGGTAGGAAATTAATTGTTTCATAATCACCACCCTGAATATTTATTTTTACATTCTTTGTAAATAGAAAGGCTTCTCATTCTTCTCTCCGTTTCCAAGGTTTCAGTAAATTTTGCTTTTTCTACTCATCATTTTATTCCAACTTCTTGCTGAAACGTACTACCCTGGTAAAAAGCAAGATTTGCCGTAACTATGGTAACGGAAAAGGGTAAGTGTGGAGAGTGGGAAAACCTTGAGATGCCCATTTTATTCACGGAGAGTGAAGTATCTTGAAAAATCATGCACATTAAGGGTTGCAAATAATTATTTAAATAAGAAGAGACAATTTATGTTATCAAAATCTGATGAATTACTATCGAGGTAAATCAGATAAGGTAAGGATAGAAATAATCAAAGTCAGTTTAGTTATCGCCTTTGAAGGCTTCTAGCCTCTCTATTTTATTTTATTTTATAACCGGCGTTGAATAGTCGACCCGATTCTGAGTTTACGGCTACCAATGTTCGTCCAAAGTATTTGGAAAAATTTGTCTTCGTATAGGTTTTCCTGATGAAACAACCCGTATTTGAGTTACAATTAATTTTATTAACTATTAATTTTACAAGGATTTTAAAAATATAGTTTAAGTGTGTGGTCATTAGAGAGAATATTTCATGCTGTAAGTTAGTCAGCGTTTTAAACAAATCAAAATTAATACAAATATTCCCTCTTATAAAGCTGTTGAACTCTCTATTACTTTTTAAATGTCGTAAAACTTATTCTTTATTGTTATTATTATGAATTAATGAATTTCCTGCCACAAAGTCTCCACGCGATTTGTGAAAGATAGCTAGCTGAGACTACTTGAAAAGTGAACCAATTTGCGGTTAAGCAAACTAAATTTTATTTCACAAAATACGAAATTTGAACGAAATCGATCAAATAGCTCTTGAGAAATAAAAAGCTTAAGAAAAAAGAAAATGCTCTTTTTAAAAATGTTTCTTTTATTTTTTGTTCTGAAACTATCAGACTGATTTCGTTGAATTTTTTTTCTCACTCAAAGATACAGAGTTTGATATAGTTGCAAAAACTCGTGTATCTAGCAATTAAAGATTTTTCTACCTTTATTAAATTAAATAATAAAATGCTATAAAAATGATTGAAATTTCGTTTTTAACCCGGAATTATATCAGGACGAGCAATTTTGATAATTGTGTGTGTAAACTTTACGATTCGAATTCCTGATACATTCCGAAATTTGCAAAATGTGAAATTAACATTCAGAAATACAAACTTTCGAAAGCTCTCTTGCCTAAACTATTGGGATCATATTTTCCTGATTGCAACTAACTGCCATATTTTGAAGTTTAAGAGTTTAAATCCGTCTATAAAAAGGTATATTTATTCAAATAAAGTAAATTTTTGTGTCCCATTCTGTATTTTAATTAATAGATTACACTAATGTATTGCATGTATTAATAGATAGCATTAATGTATGGTATGTATTAATATATATAATAAATAGGATTAATTATATAATTCATATATAATACATAGTATTAATACATAGCAGGAATAATTGGTATGTTGGAACCACTGTTTTGAACCGTAAAGATTAACACTTAGTTCGTGAAAATCCAAATATTAGAACAAAAGGTATTCAGGACATCTCTTTTTTTCTGGTCAACGTTCTAACTGGCTATCTTTTTTAGTGATGTGATCAAATTTCTTTTATAAAAATATTTTTGGAGGTTTTCAGTTGTTTAAGAACATGAATAATTACAGGTGGCATTTGAATACCTGCAAATGACGTCATCGTAGGTAAATCGTGGCATTTGTCAATTCAGAATCCAATCAGATTCGACACACACGCGTGACGTATCTTACAGGTATCCAATTAAATCTGATTTAAATCACGTGGTTAGTCCAAATCACTTCACTTCTTCCGGAGTTGCTAGTACAATACGTCAAATTAATCTGCCTGTGAAATGATGAGTTGCTTGGAATTACGTAATGATGTGATTCATTTTTTTTTGTTTCTAGGTCAATGTCGACTCATCAGGACCTACAAATGTCAGCATCTGCACTTCAGTTGTGTGACACAAAACCAAAGAAATCCAGTTGTTGCAGTAGCAAATGAAGTTATTAACTGTCAGACATAAAAGAACTTCTTTGAATGACTTTGAATGTGACATGAGCGTACAAAATGTCGATAATGACTTACATATTTGCAGTGAAATCTTTCTGACATTACTTCATGAGTAACAAACTTTAAGCTCAACACTCTAAATAAAATTCTAATTTAAAGGGAAATATTTGTTAAGCCTAAAATAGGAGTTGTGAAAAAAATATTTATATTTCTGTATGACTTTTGATGGATAAACATATTTGTAGCTAGCATAATATAAAATGATCAAAAAAGGTCTTTAAGATCTTATTATTAGAAAAAACAAGCAATTAAAAATCGCGAAATATCAAAATGAAATGAAATAACGTCTCTCCGAATAAAAATCGAGAGAAAAATTTAAAGTAATTTTTTTAAAATAAAAGTTTATTTTATTTTGCATAATTTAAAATAGAAAATATCAAAGATGTTTTTAGAGATCATGAAAATCAAGATTATTGCCAACCATTTATAATTTTTTTTTTATTCTTGCATTTTTGAATACAATCACATTTTCACCTTCTGCAGTAGAACAAGTTTGACAAGATTGGTGCTATATATGTAATGGTGACAACAAACACATGTCATTATTATAAATAAATATAATTTAATTCTCTATAATTCAATTCAATTGTCAATAACTTAATTTAATCCTCGATCATTTAATTTATTCCTCGATTATTTAATTTAATCGTATGTCTACTCTCAGCCGCAAAAGCTATTTACCGTTCTGCTAGTCAGCTCTAAGGTACCACACACTGATCTTTGCGCAACGCTTAACTCTTTGATGCAGATTGTTTACTAAACATATTTTTCGAACTTTTTTTTGCTATTTTATATTAATTTAGGTCAAAATAAGTGAAAAAATATTATATTTAGCATTTTAATAATTTATTGTTCTGAAATACAACTTAAAACACGGAGTTTTTTTTTTTGCGTTAAAGTTAAAATCTTTCAAACACAGTTCACTTCCAGACAATAATTTTTCAAATTTGCTGTTTTTTAGATCTAACAGTTATTCATCTTTGAAATTTCTTTAATTTGCAAAATCAATTTTATAAAAGAATGAAAAACAATCAAGCAACTTTTTTTTTGAATATAATATCTTAGTACAAATATAATTCCGATAATCTAACATATTTTTTAGCAACTATAGAGTGTTTTTATAATTAAAATACCAAAATATATTTTTGCTTGTAATTAGGGCGACAAAAAAAAAAAGAAACGTAAAATTGCCAAAAGTGGCCTATCTGCATCAAAGAGTTAAGTCTATAGGCTTTGCATATATAAATATATCTAAGTGTAAGAATGTTCTTCCTTTTTAACAATTAAAATAATTTCGTCATTGCCCATTCCAAGGAAAAAAGGATAAAAAAATTTCCGATGCTGACCTGGAGAATGACCTTTCGTCATACAGGCACCTGATGGGCAGATTTGTTGGCCACGCTTTCAGGAGCACCATATTAGGTGGGCCAACGTTGCTCCTACAGTAGGGACAAAGAGTACAGAAAATTAAAGAGCATCCATTCCTTGCTCTGGATTCGAACCCAGAACCTTAGAGATGCAAGGATAGTTCCTTGACCCCTACACAGGCAGGTCAACATTCCAAGGAAGATGCTTAGTTGATTTTATGTATTCTCTACTTTTAATGTTATGATGTAAGATATTAATGCTCTTTTGAGATTTTTATTTATAAATAATTTTATTCTATGAATGAATTCCACAAGTAAAAAACCTCTCATTTTCGTCCGTTATCACATCTCTAAAATTAGGTTTACTAGATAACACAATTAAAAGTTGCCTTAATTCTATCTGATTATTTCACATCTTTAAACTTTACTTCACAATAATTTAGGGACCCAAATTAGCAAAAACACAACTGTTTTATATCTATAACTTATTATAACTGTTATATTTTTGGGTGAAATACTTAACACTGTTTTTTATTGAGTGTTTGATATTATATTGAGTAATTAAATAGTGATAAATATTAACACCGAAAAATAAAGTATACATTTTTTAAAGGAAAGAAAAAAGATATTTAATATCACCATTGTACTTGTTTTGCAATACACCGTATTTAGTTTATTTTACGAACAGTGTTATTATAGAGGGAATATTTTATGTAGTAAATGTGTTAATGTTTTCACTGCATAACCAAAGAATTTTTTTGAAGTTTTTATAGTTTCTATTCGGAACCTGTTGTTCATATTTTAACACCAAAAAATTAATTAAAAAGATCGATCCTTATTGAAATGTTTCAATATTAGCAAATGTGAGCAGTCTCAGGCTTTCTGAAGCTTCATACACACTTTTGTATTATTTTTTTTTTAATTAACTGGTGAAGTGACTGAATATTTTGAGAGAATTTATCATAAACTTGTTGTTTTTCTGTGTGTTATTTTGTTATTGTTAATAAAATTTTGATTTTAAAAAATTGTTAATTATGTGTTGTAATTGCTTGAAATTCCCAAAAAAATACTCTCCAACTGCTTCCACAGTTTCAGAAAATGCATATTTAAAAAATTAGACACAGTACAAAATATATGTTTAAAGAAATGGATACAGCTTAAAACGCATGTTAAAGAAAATGAGCACAGCTATAAACGTGTGTTTAAAGAAATGGACGCAGTCCAAGAAATATGCTTAAAATAATGGACACAGCTTCAGTTGCTAAACTAAAGAAAAGTCTACATAAATTCGTAATGCGATGTTGTCTGCGTGCCTTAATCACTTGTTAATTTTTTTTAAAATTCGCATTTTCTTGAAAAAGATATTAAAAATCGGCAGTTTTTTTTAACAAAGGTAGTCATGAGTCTTATAAATTTATAATAGTGGTATTACGTTGACGTTGTGCGAAAGTAGATATCTTAAAATTTCTGAGATTTTTTAAAATTTTGTCAATTTTCTAAAAAATTTTGCACTTTTAAAAATTTCTTAAAATTTTAAAATTTCTAAAAAAATAGTTTAACTTTATAGAGTAGTTTATAGTATTAAATATGAAGTGATGAATAAAGCTACATATGTAATATACCTAGACCCCAGATCAGTTTACTTTTCTGGTTATAGTTAAGTTTAAAAAAAGTAAATATGAAATTCCACGTAAATATGAAAAGTAAAACGTAAATATGAAATTCCACGTTTAGTTGTTAAATTTGCGTAGATTAAAAAGGCGCATATTTCGCTGTGTTCAATTTCTTAATCTCGCATTTTGAGTTTTGTCTATTTTTCAAGCACTTATTTCGAACTATGTCCATTTTCTTAAATGGACACAATGTTAGTATATGTTTGCAGTGGACACATATACACGTGTCCAATACTAATGATATGTATATCATACTTAACTAAACGTTAACAACCACATTTAATTTTTTAAAAATCTTTTTCTGTTTTACAAAGAATCCACAAATAATTTCTTGCTGAAATTATTTTTTATTACCACTATAAATCACACGCATTGTTCAATGTAATATACTGACATAAATATTTTCTACTGTCCCATAAATGATGTTTTTCAACCTATAGAAGAATTCGTGTAAATTAGAATAGTCTTTTAAAAAATGTTGGCGGCAGCCTAGTTTTGGTTTAATACTACAACAATTCTACTTGTGTTGTATTAAACCAAGAGCGGAAGTAAATGTAAGGGGTAGGAGGTACGCATGTCACATTGTTGATGAAGAAATATGCGGTCGCCTGACACTCAAACAAATGATCAGAGATCGTGCTGATTTTTAATCCGTTTATTTTGACAAGAATGACTGATGAAAATAAATTCTTTATAGATGGGGATTTTAGGTAAGTTCAATAATTTTAATTTGGATTTATATGTAAAAAAAACTGAAAAGAGTATACTTCAATGTTAAAAATTCATGAATTAAAAGTGATAAATGTAATTAATTTAAATAATAATCGATTATAATTTTTTCTGCAATTATAACTTATTTCTCGCAGACTTTGCTTGAACGCAAAAGATAAAATGAAAGAAGTGGTAGGAATTTTGCAGCTAAGCTAAGTCGATAATTTCTAGATTTAGAGTTCGATCAAATATTATTCAAACTGTTTGCTTATCTTTTCCGGATAGTGCGTTTTTTTGTGAGGCAATCAAGTCACTTAATTAATAAGTTACTATTAAGCAGTGGCTCTTAATATTTAAGTCCCAATTAGTAAGCAGTGGTTCCCAGTAGGTGTTCTGCTGAACCTTAGGGTTCCGTGGAAAGGTAACAGGAGTTCCGAGAGTTTAGCGTTTTTTTAAATGTGTGAAACCTGTAACCATATTAGCGTTTGACCAATAATCCGTAATTTTCTTAATATTTCGGTCATTTTTTTTGAAATAATTTATGTAAAGCCGTGATGGCTCAGGGGATAGAGCGTTCACCTTCCAAAGAGACGAACCGGGTTCGAATCCCAGTCGATACGTAGACGGATCATGGGTTAGAGCCCTCTTGCCATCAGGTTAACCGTGGAAGGCTCTCGTGGTCTTCCTCTCCATGTAACGCAAATGTGGGTTAGTTCCATCAAAAAGTCCTCCATGAAGGCAAATTTCTCTCAATACTTGATCCAGGGATTCCCTTGTTTTCTGGATTATGTTCGAAATTACAAGGCCACTGAGTTATACATTGGTAGTCGTAAACCCAAAATTGGGTCGGCTGTTCAACGACGGTTATAAAAAAATATAAAAATCTTTTTAGTAAAATACTATTGCTTTAATTATTTTATTGAAATAAGTTGTTTAAAATGTGCATAAAAAAGTAGTAATGATACTTTCAATATAAATTGTTGAAATTACAACTTATTTAGCTAAAATACTTTTTAATGAAGGTTGCAAAGCGCTATTGACAGTTTTGAGAGTTATTAGAACTAAATGTAGGCTCAGCAGCCAAAGAATATTCACAAAATAAAGATGACCGCAGAATTTCAGGTGATACTCTAAAAACTAATTAGGCGAAACATGAGGGTAAACAGGCAGGAAGAAAAGCCATATTAGCACTTAAGACTGCTGAAAATGGTGGAAAAGGAGCATCTTATGAACCTGATATTGATGCAGTATAGTTAGTTGCCAAATTTTTATATTTAAATAGATTATAGATCACAAAACTTTAAACGCAGTTTACTTGAAACTATGTTTCTCTTATCAAATCTCTTACTAGTACAATTTTCAACCGATTTTTCTTCGAATTTTAACACAATGTTTCCACCGCCATTTTGTGAGAAAAGTTAAGTTAAATTTCAAAAATTAAAGTAAAAAATCAAAACTTGGGTGATATTTTTTCCACTTATGAGTATAACGAGTAATGGATAATTTTTTTAAAAGAATAAGTTATAAACATTGTATTATATGAGAGGTAATTTTTAAAATTTTTGTAATTGTAACAAGATAAAATGAAGATTATAACAAGTACAATAAGATAAGAAAAAATGTATTAAGTTTATCGCAATCATCGCAAAGTTCATTTAAAAAAAACTTTTTTACAGGCTTCTACTGTGTTCTTTCCCTTACAATCGAATCTTAATTTTTTCGATAAATTCCAATTGTAATCTTTATGTTCCTTGATTTTAAAACCCCTGTAAGTTTCTCAGTGTAGGAGAGTACTAACATATATTAACCCATTACATTCCATGTACTTTAAAGTGCTGTCTGAACTAATGAAAGCACTAAATCATTTAAAATACTTGCTATTCTATTTTTATATAACTTTTAAAATGCATAAAATAACGTGGTTACTAATTATTAAGGGGGGACTGAGATGGTAAAATATTAACGTGTTTTTTGAAATTTTTTATGTAATAGAGACAATGCTGAGACTCCTTGTTTTTTTTTAATGTTATTTAGCTGCAAAATAATAAAAAATAGGTTGGTGGCAGCTCCATGTGTGGCTGGTCATCAAAAAGTAGCACCTCACTGTCTTCATAAGTTTAGAAGTCCTGAAACATAGGGAAACGATTATGTTTAGGTTTTCTGAAACATAAAGACATTATCTAAAAAGTAGCATAGCGGTTTTTTGATATTTGCAAAATTACCAAAATGGCTCCAACTTGAAAGAAAGTTAAACTTTTCATTAAAAAAATATTCATTAAAATACTAATATAAAATCGAATTATAAAAATATAAAAAAATCCTATGCTACTTTCTAAAGTATATATTTTTACGNGTTCAGATTAAAAAACTTACTAACGAAATGTATATTATACTTAACTGGACCTTTACAACCACATTTAATCTTTTTCTTTTCCTGTTTTACAAAAAACCCACAAATTATTTCTTGGTGCTATTATTTTTAATTACCACTATAAATAACACGCATTATTCAATGTAATATATTGACATAAATATTTTCTAATGTCCCATAAATGATGTTTTTCTACACGCAGAAGAATTCGTGTAAATTAGAATAGTCTTTTTAAAAGTGTTGGCGGCAGCCTAGTTTTGGTTTAATGCTACTACAATTCCATTTGTGTTGTATTAAACCAAGAGCGGAAGTAATTGTAAGGGGTAGGAGGTACGCACGTCACATTGTTGATGAAGAAATATGCGGTCGCCTGACACTCAAACAAATGATCGGAGATCGTGTTGATTTTTAATCCGTTTATTTTGACAAGAATGACCGATGAAAGTAAATTCTTTGTAGATGGGAATTTTAGGTAAGTTCAAGAATTTTAATTTAGATATATATTTAAAAAAAAAAACTGAATATAGTATACTTCAATGTTAAAATATTTATGAACTAAAAGTGATAAATGTAATGAATTTAAATAATTATCGAATTATAATTTTTTTTTGCAATTATAACATATTTTGTTTAACACGTTCACGCCGGGAAAAGAGAAAATACTGATAGAAGAACTTTTTCAATATTAGATAATATTCTGGAGGAGTTAATCTATTCTCAACAATTCACTATAAGGAAATTTATCACGGCGAAGAAGCAATTCAATATAAAAATTGCATCCGTTAAAAACAATTGGTAGTTATGGAATTTTATTATTCCCGGAAAAAAATTAAAAAATGAAATTTATTGTTACCAGTTTTTACTCCGGTGCGCTGCCAAGATGAGACAATCTTCACCCCGGCGTGAACGTGTTAAGCGCAAAGTGAAAGAAGTGGTAGGAATTTTGCAGCTAAGCTAAGTCGATAATTTCTAGTTTCAGTGTTCAATCGAATATTATACAAACTGTTTGCTTATCTTTTCCGAATAGTGTGTTCTTTTTGTGACGCAATCAAGTCACTTAATTAATAAGTTACTATTAAGCAGTGGCTCTTAATATTTAAGCCCCAATTATTAAGCAGTGGTTCCCAATAGGTCTTCTGCTGAACCCCAGGGTTCCGTGGAAAGGTAACAGGAGTTCCGAGAGTTTGGCGTTTTTTTTAACTGTGTGAAACCTGTAACCATATTAACGTCAGACCTATAATCCGTAATTTTCTTAATATTTCGGTCATTTTTTATAAAATAATTTATGTAAAGCCGCGATTTCTCAGGGGATAGAGCGTTCACCTTCCAAAGAGGCGAACCGGGTTCGAATCCCAGTCGATACGAATTCCGCATCCGGCTTGCACCGACCACAGTACTGACGTGAAATATCCTTAGTGGTAGACGGATCTTGGGTTAGAGTCCCCTTGTCGTCTTTCTCTCCATGTAACGCAAATGATGGTTAGCTTCATCAAAAAGACATCCATGAAGGCAAATTTCTCCCAATACTCGATCCAGGAGTTCCCTTGTCTTCTGGATTAGGTTCAAAATTACAAGACTATGGAATTGAACATTAGTAGTCGTAAACCCACGTAATTGGATCTGCTGTTCAACGACGGTTGTAAAGTAAAATAATTTATGTAAAATGCCAATAAAAAATTATAATATATTATATAAATTACGATAAGGATATGTATTTACAAATAATGTATAATTATTTTTCTTAAAACTTTTCTATTCAAAATAAATAAATTCAAAACTAAGGAATTATACTTCTCTCATGACGTTTTCACAGTTTATAACAGTTCATTTTTGAGAACAATAATGCCAAAAACGAATTCAGAGCTAGAGGCCACTCCAGACCTATGGATTCAACGGCTTAACATTTAACCCAATTCTAAGACTGTTCATAAACAATGAAATAATGTGATTCTTTTAATTAAGCATTAAATATATTCAGATTATTTAAGAGTCTTTTTTGTCCGGCATATTCACAGCAAATAATTGACATTATTTATGAAATCACATCCGCCAAAAGAAGCTCGATTAATTAAGGTTAAACAGCCGAAAAAATTGGGAACCACTGTTCTAAAGAATTAGAAACTCTAAATAATGACTAGCATTAACAGTCATTTAAACTTATTAAATATTAACCGAAATCTCTGAACATTTTCTCTGGAATCCGGGAAAAGAAATCTCTGGGGTCGAATTGCTAGGGGCGATTTTAATGAATAACATAAAAATAAAGCATCGATATTGCCTCAGTATCGTATAAAAATAAATTAATACCCGATATACTAAGAAGGGAGAGTAATGTAAAATACTATTATTTTAACTCTTTTTATTGAAATAATTTGTTTAAAATATGTATGAAAAAGTAGTAAAGATAAAAGATAGTAAAAGTAGTACTTTCAATATAAATTGTTGAAATTGTAATACTCTTTAATGAAGGTTACAAAGCGTTACTGTTAGTTTTGGAATTATTAGAAATAAATGTATTCCCAGCAGCCAAAGAATAGCTCAAAAGGAAGATGACCGCAGAATTTAAGCTGTGCTCTAAAAACAAATTAGGCGAAACAAGAGGGTAGATCGGCAAGAAGAAAAGCTATAACAGCACTTAAGACTGCTGAAAAGGGTGGAACAGGAGTATCTTATGGACCTGGTATTGATGCAGTATAGTTAGTTGCAAAATTTTTATATTTAAATAGATTATGGATCACAAAACTTTGACTTGAAACTATGTTTCTCTTACTTACCATATCTCTCACTAGTACAATTTTCAACCGATTTACTTCAAATTTTAGCACAATTCTTACACCACCATTTTGTGATAAAGTTTAAAGTCAAGTTAAATTTAAAAAGGAAAAAAAAAGGAAAAAATCAAAACGGAATAATACTTGGGTGATGTGATACTTTTTCTATTGATGCGTACAGAAAGTTATGGATAATTTTTATCAAAGAATAAGTTATAAACATTGTATTATATGAGTGATAATTTTTAAAATTTTTGTACTTGTAATAAGATAAAATGAAGATTATAACAAGTGCAATAAGATAAAAAAATATTTATTAAGTTTATCACAATCTTTGCAAAATTCATTTAAAAGAATCTTTCTTTTTTACAGGCTTCTACTGTGTTTTTTCCCTTATAATCGAGTCTTAAATTTTTTCGATAAATTCCAATATAATTCTTTATGTTCTTTGATTTTTAAGTTTCTCTGTGTAGGAGAGTACTAACATATATTAACCCATTACATTCCCTGTACTTTAAAGTGCTGTCTGAACTAATGAAAGCACTAATTCATTTAAAATACTTGCTATTTTATTTTTATATAACTTATAATAATTATAACTTATTCTATTTTTATGTAACTATATAACTTTTAAAATGCATAAGATAATGCGGTTACTAATTATTAAGATATATAACGTTATAATTATTAAGATATATAACTTATTTTATTATTTCTATACATTACCGATTTTATTTGACCTGGTTAGATAAATAGATAAAACCGGGTTTTAGCATATGTTCAAAAACTATTTACCTAACCCTCCAAAATATGTTTTTTTTTTGTACTAAATGTTTTTATACTTAAAGTGCTAATTTATCATTTAAATAAAAATTCAAACAACTTTATAAGGAGTTGCTGAAGAAAAAAAACCCTTCAAGACCAGGTTTGGCTCAATTTCCCTTTTTTAATTATATCATTATCAACCATATGATGATAGATAATGTATTGTTAATAAATAATCTACCATTTGTTTATGTTGCATTTTCGTTCACTTTTTCTTTTCTACAAAAGTGAGCGCAAATACGTTCCTTTCAAAATGAAATTGTCAGTATCTTTTTCTGTGAAACAGCAACAATCAACTATTCAGCCTATTTTCAGGAAACCGCATAAACATAAATTTTCAGATTCAATTTTCATTTTCCCATCGTGTCTCTCCGTGTTCAATCATTGTCCAGTTCAAGGCCAAGGATAGAACTATACGTTCAGATGGTATAATATGATAGATACGCTCTACAAAACTAAATCCATTTATGTCTCTCACATTTATGGAGAACTTATTGTTGGCCGTTTAAGCCTCAGATTACGACCGACCTTTATGAAGGTTAGAATTGTCTTCTTTCCGGAATGTTGGAAACTGTCCCGTGGGCTTTCACTTTTTGTGCATTTTGCGACCAAAAGCGTAAACGAAAGTCGTTTTGTCAACTAGAAACTTCCGCAAAGAGGAAAGCAGTAAGTAATTTATGGTTTTTTGAATCATTTCATTTTTTAATAATATTTTAAGAATCAAATTTTAAAATTTAATGCAATGAGTTTCATGCTGCAAATGATTAAATCTTAGAAATTTTTTTATCAGTTTTTAAATGTATGTCTGATACCGGTTATTAGTAAATATTAACGGTATTACCGGCTACTAAACCGGTAACATAACTAACTATATTGGTAACTGTACAGTTTAAATAGTAGGTTAATTATCTATACTAGGTAACTAACAGTGTCGGTAGGTGGTATCGATAACCGGCATTGCTAGTTTATTTCCTTAAAAGTCAGTAACATTAAAATAAAAAACCTGAATGATGAATTTTAAACTGAGGAATCTAAATAAATTTTGTTATAAGATTTATTTTTAACTTACCATTTTCAAACTTTTCATATTGGATTTTTCTGCAATAGCTTAAACATAAAATAAAGTATTCATAAGTTACAGTTTTTAAATATTTATAAGATACTACTTGGCGAGTATTTAATGAATTGCTGGTTTCGTGTGTCCATAAATGTAAGTATTTAATAAAAAATGTGATGAGAGTTAAATTAAAAATAGTGCGAGTTCTGAACGAATTAATCATCCAAAATTGGTTATTTTTAAGAATTTATTACTTAATTACTATTTTTAAAAGGCTCATGATGCATTTTTTCAACAGCAGTTAAAATGTTTGATGATATATAAGTAGGTTTCAAATTTTTAGAAATTTGAAGGGAAAAAAACACTGATTGTTGCCTATTTAATGGATTACCAGTTTGTGTAATGCTAGTAACATTTTTATGAAATTCTAAATTAACTAAATCTAAATCAACTGAAATTCTATATCAACTTCAAAGAATTCTAAATCAACTAATTTAAAATTTATTTTTTATTAATTATTTGCTTATAAATTGCCATTTTTTAAAATTGCATGTAGATTTTTTTACAACAATTTAATTACAAGATTAAGCAGCATTAGTAAAGGTTAAATTTTGCAATGTTAGCTGACTACCGGTTTGCAAAGGCTAATTTTAATGATAATAATAAAGAAAACTTGTCCTGAATTTGCGTTCACTTCTATCTTATTCTGGAATGATGCAAAGGATTGGATTTACTCATTTTTTAAAATTAATGTTATAGAATAAAAAAAATGGAAAAAATTGAGTTTACAATGACCTAATAATTTAAAGACTTGAGGCA